GGTAATTATTAGCTAAACTAGATCACTTATTAGTTAATTTTTAATAAATATTTTTATATATGAAACATTCAAACATATAGAAAATAACATAACAGACAGCTAAGATTAAACAGTTGACATTTGGCCATATTTGCTTCAGATCTCTTTTAAAAGATTTCAAACATTTACAGGTATTGCTGAAGTCTTAACCTATTTATTTCTCCATCTCTATTATCTATCATTCTGAGGTTGTGTTATTACCTCTCCATGTTTTTATATTTTTGCTTCATATATATCTTCCTACAAACAAGATCTATAAGTAAATATACGCAACTAATGCTTTACTGTACATGTTTTTGCTGCCTTTTTGCCTCTTAACATATATACAGGTCGAGTTTATTAATCTTAACTGTTGTTTAGTGTGTCATTAAGTGATTAAATCATAATATTGTTCTTCAGCTAAGGGACAATTTCATTTATTTTCCCTTTTCCCTTCCACTTTCACAAACAGTGCTGCATTTAAAATTCTTAGGGGCACAACTTCTGTGGGCGTGTGGTTGAGTTTCGGTAAACTAGCTTCTTTAAAGTATCAGTGCTGGGTCACACAGCACATGCGTGGCTGTGGCTCTAGTAGGAGTTGCCTAGCTGCTCTCTGAGTGATGGTGCAGAGTCACGCTGTCTCCCTCAGTGGGCTCCACATCCTGGACAAACTCAGTACTGTCAGACTTCTCGTTTTCCCAGTGAGAAGATGGAGAAATACCAGATGATATTTCACTGTGGTTTTGTTTGCAGTTTTTTCATTACTTATAAATTTGAGTGTATTTGCACGTTTTTGGAAGGAGGGTCATTTAACATTCTTCTCTGTATTGTCAGTTTATATCCCCATTTTTTGGTGTGTGTGTTGTTTGCCTTTTTTTAGTCCCTTGTTAGAAGTACTTTCCATTTTCTGGGTGGTAATCTTTTTCAGTACTATGCACTGCAGAAATATTTCACCAGTTTCTGTCTCATCTTTTTACCTTGTTTTTGTTGTCTTTTGATGCTTAGAAGTTTTACTAATACAGTTGTGTTCTTGTCAGTTTTTCCCTCCTAAAAGTTTGTGGGATTCTGGTTTATAGTTTAAGAGACTGTTGTTTGGTTCATGTAATATTAGAGTTGTCATCTTCTTGGTAAATTGTATGTCACATTGTGACCTTCTTTATCCCTAATAATGCATTTTTGTCTTAAATTCTGTGTCATCTAATACTTCTTTAGTTACACACCAGCTTGCTCTTGCCTAAGGTTTCTCTAGTGTATCTTTTTTCCATCTCTGCTTTCCAATCTTTCTGTACCATTGTGTTCACATTTATTGTAATTTCAGGTATATTTGAAATCATTTCTCCCATCCCTCACTCCAGTTCCCTGTACATTTTCTCATATTTCATTTTCCTCACAATTTATGCATCCTAATCTTTTACTAGTCCTCAGGTTATTCATATTCATATTTAGAGCCAAAGTCCATGGATGTCTTTATTGGTTTCTAAACACCCCAGAAACCCATGGATTGTAGACTGCTTTTAATTTGATTATTCCCCTCCCTTCTTATATGTACCTGCTACATAACATTTTGTGATTATGATTTTGGTTTTATACAGTCTGCATGCTAAGATTTACCTAGGTTTACAAACATCTTTGCTAACCATTGCTTCTTGTATCCCATTCCTCTGGATTTAAATTGTCATTTTCTGTAACTACATTCATTAGTAGTTCTTTGTTTTGTTATCCCCCTTGAACAATGGTGTAACTGTATAGATTCCTAGGTTGACAGTTGTGTTCCCTCAGCACCTTGAAAGCGTTATTCCATTTCTCCTGACTCCTTTTATTGCTGTTGAGAAGTCTTAGTCTTCTCTAGTAATTTCTTTTCTCCTTTGCTGTTTAAAAAGTATTTCCTTATGCTTGATTTCTGCAATTTCACCATCATCTATCTGTTTGTTTGTGTAGGATCCATTTTACTTCCTGATTCCAAGGATTCATTTCATAAATTCCAGAACATTTACAGCCTCTTTCTATTCCATTATGGCTTTTCCCCCATTGTTTGTTTTGTCTCCATCTGGGAATCCTAACCATATCCTGCACAAGAAATTTCATTTGGTTCTTTCCAAATCTGCCTCTTCCCGCCATGGTGTCTAATTCTTTTCCTAAGTCTGTAATTTTAAAATGCCTTCTTTGCATTCTTTCAGACTGCCATTCTATTATCTCAAGTTTATGGGATTCTAATTCTGTCTTTGTTGGGCCTGCCTGTTGAGTCTTGAGAATTGTTTCCTGGTTCGTTTTCAACTTACGGACTCATCCTTAGCAGGATTTTTCTGTGAGGCTCCTTTGTGGCTGTGTTGTGGGAGCTCCTCCCCTAGGAGTTTTGACTTTCCTTGGCCAAAAGCGTTGTCAGTGGAGCCAGACAAATTTTGATGTTACTTTCATAACTTGGAATTTCTGGACTAGGCAGTAGTGAATAATCAAGTCCAAATCCCATCCTGAGTAGTGTATTGGTTGAGTTTAGACCCTAAAACTGAACCTCCTGTGTTTGAATCCTTACTTTGCCACTTATATGCTGTGACTTGACAGGTCATTTAACTGTTCTGCTTCAGTTTCCTCATCTATATAATGGGGATAATAAAACACCTTTCTGTGGTATAAGGATGAGGTGAGTCAAATATATTTAAAGTTCTTAGAACAGTGCCTAATGCATAGTAGATATTATATAGATGTTAACTATTTTCCTGAGCTTTGGGTGGGGCAAAAGAGATACGCTTATTCTTAGTTATGCCTTTGGGTCTACAGATAACAGACCTGAAAAGGCCTGTTAGAATGTTGTCTTCAGTCTTGGAGTTTATGAATCTGACTCAGTGTATTTTCTGTTTAGTTTTCTTTTGCCAGAAGAAAAGGTTTGCAGTGAGATGTTGGTCAAGTCTCAGTTTGTTGCCTGTATGGCTACTTGTCATTCACTTACAAAAATTGAAGGAGTGCTTTCTGGTGACCCACTTGATTTGAAAATGTTTGAAGCCATCGGATGGGTAAGTTCAGTGTTTTAAAGTACAAGTAACTTTAGGAAAATGGTAAAAAACTCATTTACAGAAGGATTGTTTCTTCAGGTTGTTTTGACAATAGTCTATTTTGTACCATAAAAGGAAACTACATAATTTCTAGAGATACATCACTGAGAGTTATTTATAATTGTGTAAAAACTCTGTTGTAGTTAAATGGATTCATTCAAACAGCCTTTAATAGAGGATGACCTGCTCAGGCCCCCGCTTTATGTTTACAAGAGAAAGCGGGTGTCAGTATCTTGGGACCATAAGCCTGAGTTAGTAAGATGATCTCAGTGGCAAAATTCATTGGCCATAGGTAAAATGTATAGAGTGGTCCTGTGTCTTTGGTGTTCTTTTGTCACCGTCTTTACTTCCTGTGTCCTTACACACATACATACACACACACACACACACACACACACAGGTTTGTTTGTTTACAACTTCCTTCTATTTGTTGTGCCATTGATAATTTTAGTTTCTGAGTGCTTACTTATATTTTCTGTTTCCATTTTACACCATCCAGTTCTTTTATAGATGTAATCATAGTTTGTTTTTCAAGTTCCCTTCTTCTTTCTAATTTATTTATTTTCTCTGGGTCAGGTTTTCTACCCATGTTCCTACACTTAATCTTTTCCTTCATGCCTTTTTTTTTTTTTAATTCAGGTATCATTGACATCTCCTTCATGCTTTTTGGTTTTCATTATACATCTTTTTTTTTATTTCACATTTTAATTTTATTTATTAAAAAAATTTTTTTTTTGTGGGGGAAGGAGGTAATTACGTTTTTATTTATTTATTTGTTTGTCTTGGAGATACTGGGAATTGAACCTGGGACCTTGTCCATGCTATGCGTGTGCTCTACCACTGAGCTATTACCGCTGCCCCCCCCCACCCCCATTATACATCTCAATGGTACTTTCGTATGTAAGAATGAAGGTGTGATTTGATAATTCTGGGTAGCTGCAGCAAGGTTTTTATCCTTGCCCATATGTATGTTGGTCTATTTTCCTGAGAAGTGCCTTCCCTGAATGGGAAGGCTGACTGGGGCAGCTTGTTGTATGTGGAGGGTGGGGCCCCAGCAGCAGGCATTCTTCAGTTTTAGGGGAGCAGAAGTAGTTTTTGCTCTCCCCACCCACTGCCCCCAGTGCTTGCACAAGCAGGACTGTACTCTGGAATGCTGCCCTGCCCCTCATATTAGCAGCCCTTCCTCCTCTCGGGGAGGTAGTATATATCTGGAGCATGACTCCTGGGTTTTGGGGGTTTTTACTTTTTTTGCTTTGCTCAGCTATTCTGGCTGATCTGAAACGTTCCCGCCTCTCCTGTGTGTCCTTTTGTTTTCATTCCGGCTACTGTGTCCTTCATTGCTATATCCATCAGTATTTCAGTTTTCCTTTGTCTCCTCTCCCTGCTTTGCTTTCTGTTTACTTTGACAGGGTTATTTCTTCCTTTGTGTCCTGTTAATACTTTGAAAGGGACGGAGATGAATGAAGAAGTACTCTGCCATCTCCTAAAGGCCTACAATAAATACTTAGCAAATTTAATCCCCCAAAGGAGGCCCACTTCCTTATAAAGAGTAAAACAAAATAGAGCTAGTTCATCTCTGATAATCTCTACAGCTTTTCTCCAACTGAATAGATTTTTAGTAGATTTATTGTGTGTATGTGAATATTTAAAAAAATGGGTTAAATAAGTAAGTTTGTGTAATAGCATGCTTTTTTGACTCTGAGATGCTTTGATGCTTGATTTTATAGGGTGTCTATGGAATATTTTCATACAACTGGGCACTACTGTTGTTTGATGTGATTGATGCCATGTAAGATACACCTCAATTTCAGAGCTGTTAAAATATTTCTTAAGGATTGTGTAAAATGGGCTACTTGGACATAGCTCTCTTCCCCATCATTTTCCCACTGATGATTTCTTCACTTATAGAGTCACATTGGTTTATGCATCTCATATATATGTATTTAATTCAAATTTTTGATTTGAGTTGTACGCCAAAAATTCTTTTTAAATTAAATTTCAAATGGGTTATAGTAGTAGTACATTAATTAGAAGTGTTCAAGTGGGAAAACTACATTCACATCTTTGTACCTCAGTGTGCTCTTGCCCAGCGATTCTACTAACCCTGTCTGAGCTCCATGTATTTCTGAATCCTGTTCTGTTAGCAGAAAGGAATCCCTGGATGATAGACTGACAATTTTTTGGAACTGCAGGGACTTTCTGTACTTCGCTGCACTAGTCTGAACTAGTCTCTCAACCTAACTGGTTGTAGGAGCAAAATTTCTCTATTTCTTTATTCCACTTCTAACTTCTGCCTCCCCTCTCCCGTGGGTTGTGAGGACTTTAACTAGCTTTGTTTATATTTTGTTTTACTTATGTTAATGATCTAGTAGTGCTCATTTATTCCCCGGGCACCCTTTTCTTTTTTTTAACACTTTGCTGAAGATAGCCATAATGTTTCATTTTAAAGTGGAACCAGTAAATTGAATGTTATGCATCAGTGCTTTGAATATTTTCCTCTCAGATTCTGGAAGAAGCAACTGAAGAAGAAACAGCACTCCATAATCGAATTATGCCCACTGTGGTTCGTCCTCCAAAACAGCTGCTTCCTGAATCTACACCTGCAGGAAACCAAGAAATGGTGCGGAATCACTTTAAGCTAGCTAATACTGTTGGCACTCAAGTTTTGTCCTCATTTTGAAATATTGCTGGAAGATGAAATCATATTCCTTTGTGTAACTCTAATGCAGATACGAATGTCTTTGTTGCATTGATCAGAAACTATGCCTGGTGTGTTGCAGGCATTCTTTGTAAAACATTGAGATTGAATTCTTAGTACTCTTTCTTTTCATTCCTATTTACTGAGCAGTTAGTGCCTTGTGATTTAGATACATGACGATGAAGCCTTTTAAAGTGCATCTGTATTCCTAGGATTTAATAAAAAGAATAGGAGAGGCTTTATTTTTAGGTTAATTTTTACATATGTTCCACTTAGTTTATTTTAGAACTTAATATGTTAATATTTCTAGGACAGCAGAATGTTTTAAAATACTCAAGCATGTACTTTTTAGTAGAGAAGCAAACTTGAAACCTGACTTTGAAATATTTAGAGTTCCTTGCTATTTTCCAAATCATGTTTTGTGGATGTGTAGTTAAATTTTTTTTTAACTTGAGTGTATTAATGGACTTAATCTGTACTATTACTTTTTTGTTTTTGTCTTATTTTTAGGAGCTGTTTGAACTTCCAGTGAGTGAAGAATATTTGTTTCCTAAGTATATCTTTAAAAAATTTTTTTAAATTGCGGTATAGCAGATATATATGTTTTAAGTCTTAAAAAACGATAAATGTTTTGTGCATCTTTTGAAATTACGTAGGCTGTTTATGAGATAGGAATTGTTCGCCAGTTCCCGTTTTCTTCTGCTTTGCAACGTATGAGTGTGGTTGCGAGGGTGCTGGGGGACAGGAAGATGGACGCCTACATGAAAGGGGCTCCGGAGGCCATTGCCGGGCTTTGCAAACCCGAAACAAGTAAGGAAGCAGCTAGGCTTTGAGTGAAATTCTGGTCTTTGTGTAAGCTGTGGTCACAATTGAAAGTGACCTTTATTTTCTCCTTTTTAAAAGTTCCTGTTGATTTTGAAAACGTTTTAGAAGATTACACGAAACAGGGCTTCCGTGTGATTGCTCTTGCACACCGAAAATTGGAGTCAAAACTGACGTGGCATAAAGTGCAGAATATTAACAGGTGAGGTTGATGAGTGGGTTTTCTACAGTTTTTCCAATAAGGCATCATTTTTGTTTATATAGGTCTTGTACAGTAATTTATATTCAATTTATTATTTATTTATTAACTATATTGAATGTATGCAAATACATAACATTATGCAAGGTTTGTTTTAGGTGAGATAAAAGTACAACTCTCTGGAACTACTCTTAATTTATTTGTTAAATATTCATCAAGCACCTGCTATGTGTCAGGCATATTCTAGGAACATAATTATGTTTTTGGTAAACATAATTAAATAGAAGTGTATTTTTCCCAAATGATCTACAGTTACTTCTTGGTATATATAGGGGAATGACTCAAGGATCTGCCATGGATTCAACCATGGATCATATAGTACTGTAGTGTTTATTGAAAAAGCAGCCATACTTGCTTTTGCCCAGTGGTTGAAACAAATGCTAATTTGGTCAGAGTATCATGAGTCACAATAACCATACCTCCCACCCCGCCCCCAAAGTTCAGATGGCCATTACCAACATCACGTTTACATCCAGGTATAGCTGTGGGTTTCACGTTGCAGAATTGTCACTTTTACTGTAACCGGTATAGACCAACCTTTTGAAGATAACACTTTTGTTTAGGAATATTTCATGGTGTATTTAGCATTTTGGAAGCAGAAAGAAATTTTTATTGGCTCTCCTGCTAATTCTGCCTATGAAATAGACTTTTCTTCTCACTTATCCCGCTGCCATTGTCTCTAATTTGGGGACTCAGCTCTTTTCTACAGTCTTTACTGGGTCTAATCTGTGTGCCACACTATGTCCAGAGAGAGCTATTTAATATTCAAATCTAATACCAGTCTTGTACTTGGAATTCTTATAAATGGCTCCCAGTCACCATCACTATCAGGGATGTGAATCAAGAAAGAAACAACAAACCACATACTTAATTTAAAAAAAGGTAAATGATACAAACAGATAATCATCAGAAAAAGACCTACAGAATACCCTCTCAACACTTCTCTCTCTCTCTCCTCCCATTCTTCCTCATCTTTAAACCAAGACCTCTCTGTTTCCATTTTACCTGTAGGAACAGGTTTTGGCATTTCTCTTACAACTTGAACCTCTGTATCTTGAATTGAATATTGTACTATTCATTAACTAGAGGGCAAGATTTCCATGACCAATACATTCGTAGGAGAGTTGGAAACCAGCAGCAGCCAGAAGCTAGTATCTCACAGGAAAGTGGTAACAGAGCTTTGATGCAGTAGTTTCACGTTGGTACAGCTTTGTGCTTTGAAATGCATTTTCATCTTGCAAGGCTTATTTCTCCTGTTACCACCAGCAGTATCATTTGTATTAAGTTTTCTAACTGTTCTGTAACATCTTTACTACCCACTGTATGTTACATAATTTCAAAGATGTTTAGGTTTCATTGTTGTTTACTTTAAGCACCTTTATTGTTGAATTGTGTAGAAAAACCACTTGGTTATTGCAAGTCTGAAATTTGGTCCCTAACCTCAAGCCCACCGCCCCCTCCTTCTCCATTGAAAAGAATATTTCTGTGATATAATTTTGATAGTTTTAGATTTCTTAAGAATGCAACTATCACTGAATAGACTTCATCTCCATTATAGTGGTGAAGCACATATTATTTTTGTACGATCTCTTTGCTTGCATGTCTGTTTCCCCACAAAAGGGTCTTGAGAGTAGAGAGCATGCCTTTTCGTCTTTGACCTCCCAGTGACCAGAGTGGTACTTGGTGTATTGTAGATGCTCAACTATTTGAAGGAATAGCATCTTGATAAATATTGAATTTAATATTCTAAAAGATCCATCTGTGGGTCCTGAGTAAATCTCATTGTCGGACTGCTAATATTTTTTTTTTATTATTCCAGGATCAAGAATTTGGTCATGAGTTTTATAAAATTCCTCAAAAACTTAATAACGAATCTAGTATAATAACTGTATCAAATGTGCTTGTGGTACAGTTTTTTCCTTTTCTCTTAACATTTAAATTAGGGTATGTTGTATAGGGGGCAGTAAAGAATAGATGTATTTTATGCTCATTCATTTGGTAGGTAGGATACAAGATAGTTACTCCTTAATACTAGAAGTGTTTAGTGCCTTACAGAGACACACATTTCTAAATGATCCTTATATGCCAATGTTTGTGAGGGTAAAATTTAATTTCAAAATGTATTTCTTGGGAATTGTTCTTGAGATTGAACTCATAAGCTTATACATTATGGTTTATTCAGCATATAAAATGTTTTAATTTATAATTTATGATTATTTTAAATTGCCTTGCCAACATGAAGTAAACAAATACCTATTCTCTTAACTAAACCATTATGTTAAAATTTCTTTTTCTTCAGAGATACCATTGAGAACAACATGGATTTTATGGGGTTAATTATAATGCAGAACAAATTAAAGCGAGAAACCCCTGCAGTACTTGAAGATTTGCATAAAGCCAACATTCGCACTGTCATGGTCACAGGTTAGACTTTATGAAAGGACGCAGAAAAAATTGAGTGTGACTCTTAGAGTTCAAGTTATCTGATATTGAGGAATAATTATGATCAGTTAGTTATAAAAATGTTTAACTGTTACTCTATAGCTCCATCTAATACCATACTTATTATTGTATAATTCTACTAAATTTGTTACATTGTGGCTCCATCTTACATTGTCCTATTTCAGCATTGAGTATTTTTCTGAGATGGAGGACAACTTTGCAGTACACTATGGAGGTCTAGCAAATCTGTTTATAATAAGTATAGTAGTGAAGGGCACACTGTAAATATTTAACTTTGCTCTTTTTTGCTCTCTCTTTAATCATTTATTTCTTAGAGTTATTTTACCTTGTCTTGTGTTAGTTATTTGTAGATTGGTTTTCTGTACTAGAATATAAGATTCTTGAGAGTTAAGAATATATTTTACTTATTTTGAGATCCTCTATTTTTAGAACTGTGCCATATACATGGAAAATGGTTAATAGATATATATTAGAATTATATTTTTGTATATAAGATAGTACGTTTATCATTGCTTGAATGTGTAATTGTGAAAATAGCTGTTTTTTTGGTTTGTTTCTTGACTGCTGCATCTAAATGATTCTCCAAGTGTTATACTGTGGATAATATTAGATAATTCCCATTTCTTAGCTATATGAAATTGTGGCCGCTCTTAAGTTTTTGGTTTTTTTTTCTTAACAAATAATCAGATTTAAGATATTCACTTAATGGCAGTTATGTGTTCTGTAAGACATGTGGAGAAGGTCTGTGTACATTTTTATGTTTTACACTCTGAGGTCCATCTGATACCATACTTATTACCTGTAGCTCAAGTAACCAGATTTATTAGCATCCCAGCAATTCTTGGTTCTAATCATTCTGCTTCAAAGTACTTTCTGTCTGTATATCTCTTTGTTCTGGTTTTCCTGCCATGACAGAATGTGGCTTTGTGTCCCAGGAGGGTCTGTCAGGTCACAGGAACACAGGCATGGAAATGGTGTGTGGGAATTGGGAGGAGAGACAATAGTGCCCTTCAGTTCTGGTAGCAGTGGGTGCCCTAAGCCTTTGCTTGCTTCTCCCGTACATTTATATTTCCCTCTTTTGATCTTATCCTTACAGTGTCTTTAGTTCTTTCCTCATGACTGAAAAGTTATCTGTCTTGCTTCTCTATATCTTGTAAAGATTGTATTCTTGTTACTTCACTTATCTTTTTGTTTTGTGTGATTTTGCTTTTGTAATTCACTTTTTTCTGTGAAACTACTCTCATATATTCTTGTACAGACTACCTGTCACTCCTCAGTTATTTCAATAATATTTATTGAACATCTGCTCAGGTGCCAGGTGTTGAGTGGGTACCACTAGTGCGTGACTCAGAAAGATTGAGAATGTATTTCGCTTTAAAAATTGTGAATGAGAATGTTCTAGTTAGCGTCTATGTGCTTGAATTCTTTGAGGCTTCCTTTGATATGTATGTCCTGATTTTATTATTTTTAAACTCTAAGAGTAAGGACCATAAATGACCATATGACCCAAATGACCGTATCTTTATTTTGCCCAGCCCAATCATGGGGACTGTAATAGATTCTCAGTAACTACTTGTTTAATACATTCATGTTTCCATTTTAATTTTAATGTATTTTCAATGTTTTGAAAATCAGGTGACAACATGTTGACTGCTGTCTCTGTAGCCAGAGACTGTGGAATGATACTACCTCAGGATAAAGTTATCATTGCGGAAGCATTACCTCCGAAGGACGGGAAAGTTGCCAAGATAAATTGGCATTATGCAGACACCCGAACACAGTGTAGTGATTCATCAGCAATTGACTCGGAGGTACTGTCAAGTAGAATTTTTTTTCGAAGCTTGCTTGTTTTAATTTATTCTGAAAAAATTAAAACTGGTGCATTGAAATGCAACAAAACAAAACATAAAAACAGAAGCCTGAGCATCTCCTCACAGGTTCTGATTCATTAGGACTAGGGCAGATGCAGGTATCTCAGTGTTTCAATTTTGATACTTAGCCAAAGTTGGGAAGCACAGTTTTAAAATATAAGAACCCCAAACATTTAACCTATTTAACCTATTTTAAATGCAGTAGTAAATGATGCAGGTGGATCATTTCAAATTGAAGCTGATATTTATCCTTCCTTAAGTTATATTTTTTAAATAAACAATAAAGATAAATTACCTTAAAATGGAATTTTCTTTTACTTCTAATAAATGTTAAATATTCAGTGTCTTACATAAAATATGAAATGAAAGAATTTAGTTTTGAATCAAATATGTTTAAAATACGACTGGTTGCTTGGTCTGGCTGCCTGCATATTGTTCTGAATGTCTTATACGCAGGCTATTCCAATTAAATTGGTCCACGATAACTTAGAGGATCTGCAAGTGACCCGTTACCACTTTGCAATGAACGGAAAATCATTTTCAGTGATACTGGAGCATTTTCAAGACCTTGTTCCTAAGGTCAGTGATTTGGGCTTATGTATATATTCACGTGAGTACATTGTGAACAATATTTTAAAAAAATACATATTTTTTCCAGCTAATGCTGCATGGCACGGTGTTCGCTCGTATGGCGCCTGATCAGAAGACACAATTAGTAGAAGCATTGCAAAATGTAGAGTAAGTATTGGTGGTTTTGTTTTTTAATTCTTAGGAATTATAGCTTTGTTTTCAAAACCAGAAAATTAATGTATATAAACTTGTCACCTGTAAGACGGAAAGGGCCTCTTTAAAAGAGGCTCATGTGCTTATCTATTTAGCTCACGTCCAGTATCCACATTCCTTTTCTGGGTGATGTCTGTGAGGTAGAGTCTGTTCACTCAGCTTGATGGAAGTGTTGTAATAGTTTTTAGTAAATAACTGTATTTCAAGTTTTTAAGGGAGAAAACTTTGCTGATAACCTTAAAAGTAAATGTACTAAAGACTGTGCAGGCCCAAGTCCTTTGCTCTGAAAATTTGGAAATGGAGATGCCAAAATGATAAACTGATTGCCCGTCTTGTGACAGAAATAGGACAGTGACCTAGGTCCTCTGACTTGCAGGCTGGTGGTGTTTGCAAAGGAACGTTCTTGTGGTTATTGTAATGAAAAGACTCATTAATTCCACTGGGGGAATCGTGGTCTGTTAGCTCTTCATAATACTGTACTGGAGAAAAATCTTAAGTTAAATGTTGTGTATTTTAAGAAATCAAAATCTTAAAACATAATTTTTGTCTCTTAGTTACTTTGTTGGGATGTGCGGTGATGGTGCAAATGATTGTGGTGTAAGTATAGATTTTGTGATTTTATAGTTCTTTCTCTGGCCTAAGTCACATGCACAAAACTCAGGCAATTTTATTCTTCAAACCATTAGGCTCTGAAGAGGGCACACGGAGGCATTTCCTTATCAGAGCTCGAGGCTTCAGTGGCATCTCCCTTTACCTCCAAAGCTCCTAGTATTTCCTGTGTGCCAAACCTTATCAGGTAGTACCCGTTGAAAATGTTCCTGTTGTCTCTTTGTAACTTGCTCTAATAATATAGGGAAAAATGTCATAGAAAGTAATAGGAGTTTGTTTTAATGGTATGTTATTGTAAGTCTTTAGCAACAGATTGATGGCTACTCCCCATTTCTTCCGGTTCTGCTTTGCCTTAGTTCTTTTGGTAGAAAAGTGCTTTGTTGTAACTGTTGAATGTTGATGTTCATCTGTCAAGATATAATTGTGGTTTGGAGGAGGCATTTAGAATGCTTCTGTTCACATGCCAACATTTGTTTTCACAGGGAAGGCCGTGCTGCTTTAATGACTTCCTTCTGTGTGTTTAAATTTATGGCTTTGTACAGCATTATCCAGTACTTCAGTGTTACTCTGCTGTATTCTGTGAGTACTGAAGTTGCTTGCAGAGATGGTACTTAGTGTTAAGATATTTAAATTAAGATATCGAGTATGTATATTTCATTTTGAATGCATCCATGGTGGAACTAAATAACTAGCATCTGTAAATTTTCCTTTCCTTTACTATATTTTGAGTAGAAAATTGAAAGTCTCATTAATCTGGAATAGCATTTTCCGTAAGGCCAGCCACTGTGGATTTAGCATTGTGAATAAAAGATGACTGTATTCTTTTTTGCCTTTAGCATGAATTGGACATCTTTTTAGAACTCTTCAAAATGTCAAGCTGTGACATATTTTAGAATTGCAGTTAACTTTGCCATACACTTACAAGGAAAGGCCAGAATGAGAGTGGATGTTTCAGCTTTAGTTTTAGAACTTAGCATTTGGAGAAGAAGTGTGAACAAGTGGTATCTGTACGCACACCATGGATTTTATAGTTGAAGTGTTTTCACTTTAGATTTTTCTCTACATGATCGTTGGTGACATCTCAGAGAATCTTTGTGAGGCTATTCCTTTCTATCATTGTGGAAAGTATTAGGAGGGATGGTGTTAGATAATAAGGAGGCTTCAAGATACTAATTTTCAAAAATATTGAATATTGTGAATAGAAGTTTGTGTTTTCTTTTTGCCAAAAAAACTTTCAAAAGGCTTTTATTGGATGAGTTTTGGGGCACTACCTTTTATACTAATATATTAAATTGAATTTTGCAAGTATGTCATATTTCATTAATTTAAAGGCAAATTGTTCAGTTTTTCAAGCAGGTCCAAGTGTCATTTTGAAATTGTCATTATTGGGGGAAAAAAATTAAAACCAGAGAGGAAAAAGCTAATAAAACCAGGGGGGAATGGTATAAAAGTGGTACAATAAAAATAGTTCCTGAAAACTAACTGTTTTAAAATAATTGCTTCTGTAGATCTTAAGTAACCTAGGGGACTTCCAGTTTCTCTTCATTGATCTGGCAATCATTTTGGTAGTGGTATTTACAAGTGAGTATTTTGCTTTATTACTGTTTCTAAAGCGTATGAAATTCTGATGTGGCTTATTAAACTTTGGTAAATTTATGTGAACGATTGTAACACAGTACATGTCTCTCCATTTTCCCTATAAATATGTTCTTTTATTATAAGTTGTTTATATTTTGCCCTATTTGTTTTATTCTTTCTCCACTTTTTCCTGAAATATTTGGGAATAAGTTCATGTTATCATGCCCCTTTGCCCCCTTTGCCTCTGAATATTCTAGTATATATTGCCCCAAAGTTGTTCTCTTATACAGCTAAACACAGTTTTAAAGGTCAAGAAGTAACATTGATATAATATTACCTAATCCATACCTGTATTCAAGTTTTGTCATATGTCCCAATAACATCCCTTACACCTATTTTTCCCCGTGGTCCCCTTGCCCAGGATCTAGTCCAGGCTCCCAAGTTTCATTTGGTTATTGTATCTCTTTAGTCATCTTTAATCCAGAATAGTACATCAGCCTTTTGGGGGGCTTCTTGACATTGACGTTTGTCAAAGAAGATGATCTGGTTATGCAGATTTGTCTGATGTATTTTCATTAGACTCAGGCTGTGCATTCTTGGCAGGAGTATCAAAGAAGTGATGCTGTGTCCTGGGTATATCGTATAAGGAGATAAGATGTTGATTTGTTTCAGTATTGGTGATTTTAACATCAAAATAAATAATGATGGTAATGGGATATGACTTACTTAATCAAGTAAAAATTCACAAGTCCATAGTGGAAATAAATAAATGATTGGGAGAGAAGGGAAAGCTCTTCCTTACAGTAAAATGCTAACTACTAATATAGACAGAATGATTGGCTTAGACCATGGAAAGACTCTGGTCCTGCTGACGTTTAGGCCAGCTAATTGCTCATTGTGGGGGGACTATCCTCTGCTTTATAGGCTGCTTACCGGTATCTCTGGCCTCTACCCACGCCCCCATTTATGATAACCAAAAATACCTCCAGACATTGCCAGGTGTTCTTTGGGGTCCAAAATCACGTTGGTTGAGAACCACTGAGTTTGACAGTCTTTAGTGGATGCTAAAACTAGTGAATGAAAGTTGAGGAACAGGGTTTTTACACAGTCTCAGTGTCTTTCCACAAATTACTTATTAATTACAAAGAGAAAGACAGAACTTTACAGTGGAGAAACTTGGTGGACAGAAGTGATCAAAGCCTCTTTTATGTTACTGTTATGTTTATATAGCTTCAAACCTTTGTTAATATCTTCTTAAGAAAAAGAAATATGTATTATTTTAACTGTGGCTTTACAATTAAAGATTCAGAAATAAATTCTTAGTTAAGCATATAAGGTTGGTGATGATATATGCTTGTATTTAGTATTCTTTTCACTTGTACTAGGGTTTCCTTTGAATTTCAATAGATTAATGTAAAAAGTATTCCTGAGGCATTTTTGAAAAAGCCTTTACAGATTACTTAAATATGTATGGCATCTGGCTTGGTTTTTGGACATTTTTCATATTAAAGATTTGTTAGGAAAGAAACCCAGTTTTTTTAAAGTTCCTAAATGAATCTGATTTTGTAGTGACAAATTAATTTAGATATAAACCTTTCTTCTCTTTCTTCTTAATGTAGTGAGTTTAAATCCTGCCTGGAAGGAACTTGTGGCACAGAGACCACCTTCAGGTCTTATATCTGGGGCTCTTCTCTTCTCCGTTTTGTCTCAGATTATCATCTCTATTGGATTTCAATCTTTGGGGTTTTTTTGGGTCAAGCAGCAAGACTGGTATGATAAATGGCATCCATATTCAGAGTAAGTTGGTCAATCCATTAAAAAATAAGTGTAAAGTGAGTGCAATATATATGCATGTAAGAATAAGTTTAAAAATGTATGTAAACGTTTGCATGCAGCTTGGTTAAACAATTAAAGTAATTCGGCCCGTATTTGACTTCATCTGTAGGAAGGTGGTTAGGCAAGGTCCTAATAATCAGATCAAGATGGGGACATTGGACCAGTTTCTTCATTTGCTGCTGAGCCTTGGCTTTCCTTATCTGTAATATGAGGAAATTGAAGTTAATCACTAGGGTTTCTTCTAGGCCAGAATGTTTGTATTTCTAACTTCTCTACCCCCAGTTTGGGAAATGACATTTTAAAACCTAAAAAAATTTAAGAAAAGATATTAAGTGCGTCTTGTGTTTGTTTATGGGCAGAATGTCTTCAAGTTCACAGATTATGGTAATGTAATTTTAATTAATTACACATAGGTAAATGCAAAGTCTGTTTACCTTTACTTTGCTAAAGTTACTCCCTAACTTAAAGAGTGGGAAGAGTTTATTAAGCGTGAGAGGGGCTTATTAATTAATGAGGTCTCTTACTTCCTTCTGAATTTTTAACTGATTGGAATGTGACTAGAAAGAAAAATTAGTTTCCTTTGGGAAATAGATACTGTGTTTACTAACACAAAATTTTTTTCTGTGTTGTAGTGCTTGTAACACAACAGGAAGCCAATATAGGAATTCTTCAGATTTAAACAATGAAACTGATTCTGATTCACATAATATACAAAATTATGAAAATACCACAGTGTTTTTTATTTCCAGTTTTCAGTACCTCATAGTGGCAGTTGCCTTTTCAAAAGGAAAACCCTTCAGGCAACCTTCCTACAAGAATTGTAAGTTTGGCATTTATTGTGATTTCCATCCTGCTTCCCTTCTATAAAGTAATGTAAGAATTGAGTTAAAGCTGTTCTTTCAAAGTGAAATGGGTCTTCACCAGTAGAATGAACCTAGTGATTTAGATGTTTACTGTCTTGTTTTATTCTCATGGTAGCTGCCACCCTAAGTTTAAAATTAAAGACAGCAGTTCTACACATTCCTGGTTTTCACACCCTGTTACTTCTGGCTCCAATTTTTATTTTTACAGCCCATTGCAAAGAGAGTTAGAATTAAAAGCAGGAGTAGAAGTTCTTCAATTGGGACAGTGGGTATTATACTTTCCTTCTGGGTGGTCTGCATGGCACCAGCTGTCTTTTCTCATTTTTGACACTGTTCCAGCCAGTATTCACCTGGAATTCTTCACTTCTGTCACCTTTGCATCCACAGCAGGAGGGGCCAATAGAATCGAGGCTTATGCCTGTGTAAGCTTGTCTGCCTGTGGCAATAGGATTTGGCAACAGCATTTGGATTGATCAGTTAGGGTTCTTGGGAAAAAATCATTCACTGTATATAAATTGCTGGTTTTAAAAAATTGAGGCTCTACTAATTAATATATGGAACAACTTAAAAATTATTTTTTCCATATAGAACTTTAAGACTTTTACAGTTCCTTGGTGTGAATAGTAATTATTCTTTTGCTATAAAGAAATGCCAGTGTTCTGGTTGGTAAAATGTCAGGTCACAGATTTCGCTGTGGCATAGGACTGATAACTGCTCACATCTCTATATCTCACGTGAGAGTTTACAAAGCATGTTCACATACATTATCTTGCTTAGTCTTCTGTGTGGTTTGTAGGACAGGTTTTGTTACTTTATATTTTGGACCAGTAAGACTTCAAAATATAAGTAACCAATAATAATTGAAATCTGTTTTTTACTTTTTATTTTTTTAAAGAACTGATATTTCTTATCTAACAAATGGAAACTTTAGAGAATCGTATAAAAACCATGTTGTGGGACAAAAAGCCTTGCATAGTAGGTGAACTTAATAATTAAAGTTGATGTACATGTTTTTTGGTTCATTTTTTCAAAATTTCAAGGAAATATTATTGAGCATGCCCAGGGGTAGCTAAAATATCTATCAAAGAACAATACTTTGTTTACAGAAAGAAAATTGACATTCAGACTTGTTGGTAAGCAAGACAACTACATCTTTTATATTATTTTGGAAAACTTCAAAAAAAATGAGAGGCTTAAAGTATTTTATATTCCCATTTAATTTTGGATTGATTGAAATAAACTCAGTTGTTGATCACTGGACTGTTTTTTTAAACATGAGTTAAAAATTATATTTTAGCAGAAATATAGCCACCAAACCTTTGTCCTTAAGCTAAGCAGCTTGTGCATGTCTGTTAGTGGAGACAGAAGTGTGTGCTGTCATAAGACATGCCTTCCAGAAAATACAATAAAGTCAGCGTATTACTTTGCTGATTTTCACGTCTTGTCTGTCTGTCTGTCTGTCTGTCTGTCAGTCATTGGAGTCCCCTAATCTTGCAATATAGTTGTTACTGACGAGTAAAGAAAGAGAAGTAGAGAAGAAAGTAAGAAATGATAGAATTAAAGTATTACTGTATAAAGTGTTAAACGATGTGAAGTATAAATATGGATGGAGAAGAGTGGGGGAAAGGTTAAGGCTTTACCAAAGCTGTCGTCGGCCTTTCCTTTCCTCCTCAGAGTAGACAGTTCACAGGTCTTCACCAGACCTGCTAGTTACTGTTCTCGGTATCTAAACTGTGTAATGTGTTGTCTATCTTGAGCATATTATTTTAAAGGATTAACCTCAGTCTTAGCTATTTAAGGTATCCTCTCCAGAATCTGTTGCTCTCCTCTACTGGTTCTGGTTGAGACTAAGTAAAACCTGACTTCCGTCTGTGGTCACCCATTTTCAGCTGAAGTGCAATTTTTTTCTTGCTTGACTTCACTGTTATTTCAAGGGCTGTGATAATATGGACTTAATTCTGACACTCTTTTAACCAGATGTGATTTCTTGTGATCTGGCTTCAGTTTTTGCTGATTTTTTTTTTTACTTGATCCTTATCGTTTGCTGCTTGTGAAATCCAAGTTCTTTCTCTGTATGAAGGCATTATTACTGAACTGCCAGCATCTCTCCTGTTCAGGCTTATGTATCTTTTTCCAGTTCATCCCCATATCCGAAATGGTTGGAGCAGATGCCTAGGGGGCCTGCAGGCTGAGGTGGCCTTTTAAAGACAAGTAACTGAGTCAGGAAGAGGGACTAGGAATAAAAAGACTTTAAATTTGTGGTTGTAGGTCAGAAGAGCCCAGTTAGTATTTTTGAGGAGGAACAAGAGAGGTATATATCAGAGCCACAGACAAGTATTGCAGATTTATTTACTCTCTGTAAGTTTTTACTTTTGAGTCACTTACTAAGGGGAATATAAGGGAAATCCTTTATGGTGCCTTATTTTGATGCCATATTCCATCAAAGGGAACTGGTATCATTCAGTTAACAAGTCTGTGATGCTGTTGCTGGGACATATTTAATAATAACTTAAATCTGCTCTTCCCTTACAGGATTCTCATCCTATCTGTATTTTATAGTTAAAATAATTTGACTCTGAATGACTTGGTGATGTTCACCTAGCTTTGTGGCAGCATCTGAAACAGAATCTAAATCTTTAACTCGAGGAACATTCTTCCTCGGCCGCCAGTCACCACCAACACAGAGTTTGTTTTGATAGCTGCCTTCAGTAGGGTTAGTAAGGAATCACTGACCATGCCAGGAGAACCCGGAGCTGAGAGCATGGTCTGCTAGAAACTCATGCCTCTCTAAAATGAGTACTCAGTTTTTCGATTCTTGTTTGAAATCCTTATTGATCTTTTCATTTTGGTGGTTATGTAAGTCTGCCAGCCTCTTTTTCTTTCCTGGTGAAACAAAGGAAAGACTCAAGTATTTATTTTCTCCTTCAGATGGAAATCTTGGCAGATTTTTAGAGGTGTGATCAAAGGGGGTGGTTATAGGAGAAGGATGAAAATTTGAGAATTACTGTTGAGGTAAATGTCAGAAGTTTCCGAGCCTGAAATTTTAAAAACAAAATTTCTTCTGGCAATATGTCAGGACTAGATTGCAAATCTATTTTTGCTTATTGTTTTAAAAATGCAATAGGATTTGAAAAACGTTCAATATGGGCTATTACTTTCTTGAAACAAAACTTTTTCTGCCTCCATGTCTCTCTTTGGCATTTGTATCCTGACCATTTTTTTTTGTGTGTCCTTTTTCTGGTTTTGTCTGGGGGGGGTGTGTGTGTGTTCATGTACTTCCAACTAGCACTTTCCAAACACTTTAAACTGACTATAAACATTTGAATGACTATATAACATGTATTACTCTCTGCTTCATTTATTGAAGAGAATATTGCATTACTTGTTTATAATTTAGTAGAGTGTTTTAAAAATAAAAGTCTGGAAAAAATTCCATTTTTATCTAACTGGGTTCCAAATTTTTCATCCTGTTGGTCAGTGGCTCATAGTAAAAAGGTTTCCCCACTTTTGGCGTGAATGTTAACATAACTTTCAGTCTAAGCAGTTAGAACAGTAAATATGTGTGTGTGTGTAACAGTAAATATATCAGAATATTATTTCTATTAACTTCTTGACACACTGTGAAGTCTTTATGATAAAGTTGTGGTTATATGTGGTCTTAGTAAAGTTTGAATTTGAAGCCAACCACTAATAGGAACTTGGAAATAAATACCCAGACCAAGAAAAAAGAGAGAAAAGGTTTGGGGCTGTTAATATAATTGAGACTTTTTTTTTGGATTTGTGATTTTGTTTTTAATTCTGAGACTGTTTCTGAGCTTTCTCATGGCTTGTTATATATAAGGGTGTGCTTGTATATGTGTGTGTGTGTGAATGTATGTTATGTACACAGTTAACAGAATGACCACAAGCAGGGAGTTTTATTTTTGAGTTAGGTAAGTGATTCAAAGTGCTGATGGATGGAATTTACCATTCTTAGCTACCACAGCAAGCCACTGGCTTAGCCCACGTTTAAAATAGTAGATCAACTCAATTTCTGGGTCTTGAGCTAGCATTTTCTATGGAAATATTTTCACAAAGGAAATCAATGAAAAAGTGGGATTCACTTAACAGAAATATACTTAAATTCAACTTAGAATGCCTCTGTTTAGGATGATAGCATACCCAATACTGAAAATAAATGTTATTCAGCATTTTTACAGTTAGCGATAATTTCATTGCATACATATTTTAAATGATAATCTCATTTTTCCATACATAATCTCCTATTTGTGAATTGTATAGTGGCTTATCCTATAAAGTAGTGTGAGAAGAACAAATAAATGTCCATAAAGGTTTGTCTTGTATTTTTGTAAATGCAGATGATTTTCACATTGTGTAAATGAATCCTTTGGGCCTGCATGATGTATTATATGCTAGGAAATATCACAGAGCACGCATTTTATATACTGAATCAGCCTAAATAGAAGTGTTCAAAACTAAATTTAGAATTGACAGCGAACCAGTCATTACATTATATGCCTTTTTAATTTAAAGGAACACCCTAATTTAATTGTTTTACTTTCTTTTTCAGATTTTTTTGTTGTGTCTGTGATTGTTTTGTATGTTTTCATATTATTCATCATGTTGCATCCAGTTGACTCTGTTGACCAGGTTCTTCAGGTAAGGTGTAAGCACATCAAGTTATTACTGGTTGTGCGGGAGTGGTGGTGTCTGGGGCAGCAGGGGTGAGACAGCAATGGAAAACGGCACTTGGTATAAACGGCCCAGTGAGACTTCTGGATGCTTGCTAGGGCTTAGGACCTGTCCCCTTCCTCTACTTTTGTGGAGAAAGAGACTGAACTGTTTATGTTTCTTTTTTCCAATATCTCTTATTTCCTAGTTTTCTAAGTTAAAGAATAAGGAACATAAATAAAACAGCAACTTATATTACCCTGCCTGTTATTTTTCTTTCCTGTTTCTTCAGTCTTTGCTTCTAATTCCATTTCCCTTTGTCTACAAACAAATGTCCCTTGGTCTTTAAAAATAAGGAACTTGGATCCTGTTATTTGACCTCTCCCTTATCAGCCTGCTCCTTGGGTCGTCTGCACCCGCTGCCTCATCTTCACTGTCCATTGTGTTCTTCATGCATGTTCTCTTTAGAAACTTTATGAAAAATGAAATACTTATTTTATACAAAAGAATGTGCACACAAATTAAAGTTGTTAAGCATAATAGTAATAAAAAAACACCCAAGGCTCTATTATCTAGCCTAAAAAAAGCATTACCAACACCAGTGAGACAGGGCCGTGCACCTTTCTCCAAACATCCTGAGGTCACCTCTACTTTGTTGTCTTACTTTTCACTGTACACTTGCCATATATGTATGAATCTTAAAAGATAGTTTTGCTTACTTTGGAACTTTATGAAGTTGGTGTCTTGTGATCTCTATTTTTCTGTAAGTTGCTTTTTCCCATCAGCCTTACTATGTTGACACATGCATTTCATTTTCATTCTATGTAGTATTCTATTATAGGAATATACTGTAATCCACTTCTCAGTTCTCCATTGGTAAACAGCTGGTTGGTGTATAGTCTTTTCCTGGATTGATGGTGCTGATGTAAACATTCTTACATACGCCTCTTAGTGTAAGGGAGTAAGTGATGGTGCACCAAAGAGTTCATCCAAGTGCAAGCAACGGTGGGGCGGGGAGGTGCAGTGCTGTAGAGAATTTAAAAACAGCAGTAAAGCCCACTGAAAGTCCATTTGCTATTAAATATCACCTTGTCCTGGGAATTCTAAACAGTGTCAGTGGTAAAATGCTCCTACCATTAGCAGCAATCCTACCTTGGTCTACCACTACGGGCAAAGGTGTCCTCTGGTATATTCTGTTATAATTTTGAGCTTGTCCCCTTTAGCTTTCTGAGGTTCCAGTTGCTTTCCAAATTGACTGAACCTCCATCAGTGTATAAGATCTTGTTCCATATCATTGCCAACATTTGTCTAGTAGGTTAAAATGTCATATATCCTGATGGTTTTAATTTGCTAATTATATTTTTTAATTGCCAATGGTATTAAGCATTTTTTATGCTTATTGGCCATTTTTATTTCCTCTGTGAATTGTTTGTCTTTTGCCCATTTTTTCTATTCGTATGGTGTCTTTTTCTTATTATTTTCAGGAGTTTCTAAAGTATTTGGCTATATATGTGATGAATATCTTCCAACTTGTGGCTTATCCTTTTGCATTGCTTATAATATCCTTTTTAAAAACAAGTTTTTACAGTAGTTAATTTTAACAGTTTTCTTTTCTTTATGTTCTGTGCTTTTCATATCTTTTCATATCTTAACTTGGCAGCTTGTCCTGTCTCAAGGTTACAAAGAGACTAACTCTTTCATAGTTGGTCTTTAATCCACCTGGAATTAATATTACGTATAGCCTTTGAGATGACGATAAGATTTCTGTTTTCCTCATGAATACCCATTTGAGCATTATTTATTGAATAGTCGCATCTTTATCCACTGATCTTCAGTGATACCTCTGTCCTCTATCAGTTTTCAGTTGTATGTGTGTGTGTATAAACTGTCAACCTGATAGGGGTGCTGCATTTTTTTCTTAGGTCTCTGTATTCTCCTCTGTGCTAGGACCACATTGTCCAAACTACTGTGACCTTATACGTAATTTTGATACATGGTTGGATAGAACCCCTTATCCCCCACCTCATATTGTTCATCATGATCTTTTTGGCTGTTCCTGAGCTTTTCCTCCTCCATATAAATTTTAAGGTTAGCTTGTCAAGTACTGGGAATTTTTATTACAATACAATGGGTTTATCAAAAATTGAGTTAGAGAATTGATTTAGTCTCCCTTTCCATGAACATCTCTGTTTCTCTAGGTCTTCTTGAATACCTTTCAGTAAAGTCTGACAGTTCTCACCCTAAAGGGAGACAAGTGTTTGTTAGATTTTTCCTGTAGTAGTATGAGTTTTGTTCTTCTGATAAGTATCTGTTTAAAATTACATGTTCTAATTCTTTTACACTGGTGCACACAGTGCAGTTATTTTGGATATCCATCTCATCTCCAGCAGCCTTGTCAGACTTTATTCTTGCAGTTTTTAGATTCTCTAGGATTTTGTTCTAGACGGTTTTCGTCTATAAATAGTAACAAGTTTTTTGTTTCTGACATTTCAGTCCTTATGCCTTCTGTGTATTTTTCATGTCTGTTGACACCACATTCATGTTGGCTGCATGACAATGAGGCCTGTCTTGTTCTGACTCTGCAGGGAGTGCTCCTGGTAGTTCACCCTTGGGTGTATCACGGGCTGTAGGTTTCTGGTATATACTCTTTATCAGGTTGAGGAGGCTTACTTCTTTGGTGGTGGTAACGTAAATAGATGTTTAATTTTATCTAGTGCTATTAAAATGATCACATAGTATTTCCCCCAGGAGAATGTGGTGAATTACAGTTAACTGATAAATGTTGAACTGACACTGCATTCCTAGAATAAATCCAGTTTGTTCATCATGCATTCTTTTTTATATCCTCTGGATTTGGTTTGCTGTGATACTGTTTAGGATTTTTGCTTCTCATTGCATGAGTGAGATGAGACTTCATTTTCTTGTATGTTCGGTTACATGAACTTTATGCAATGAACATTCCATTTCATGGATTTTCCAAATTTTAGCTAATCCCCTTTTAATGGATAGTTAGGTTGTTTACACTATTTTCTTGTTATAAACAATGCTATATTGTGAATTCTTGTATGCTTCATTAAGAAGAACATGCATTTTTAGAGGTTAATGTGCAGAAGTAGAATTGCTTGATCAAAAAATATCTAGAATTTGGGTTTTATAAATACTGTGTTATTGAACTTTGAGAGGTTGATGGTTTATAGTCTTAACAAGCAGTGTATGAGCATCTGTTTCCCCACATGCTTCACTGAGGGATTTAGATAAGCACTTTAAGCAAAGAAGAAAACAAAACATATTTATTATTTCTCTCTTACCACACATGTCGTGTGCTTCACAGCCAAATTATGGTTTTGAAAGAGGGCTACATTCAGCTCACCTCCCACACACTCATCAGCTGGTCTGGCTTCTACTCCTGCCAGATCTGCTGAGACTGCCCTTGCCCAGGCAGGTCACAGCCTTTCTGTGAAGTCCAGTGGACTTGTCCCCTTGTTTATTTGTTTATTTTTCCCAGTCTTACTTGACTCCTCAGCAGTATTTGATAGTTAGCCTTCCCATCATTCTTGACACATTCCCCCTGGAATGTTGTGATGCTTTGCTCTCTTCTGGTCTTTTCCTACTTCTGTGACTCCTCATTTTCATTCTCCATTGTGGTTCCAAACCCTCTGCCTGTTTCTTAAATGTTGATATTCCCACACATGTGTGTTCTTATCCCTTGTCCTACTGTATCCATTCAGGTGACCTCATCCTCATCAGGGCTACCTGTAGTTGCCGTCTATGTGTTGAAGACTCCCAACTTTATACCCTTAGCCTGGTTCTCACAATTGTGCTTTAACCTGCATATCCACTGGCACACTGAACGTTATATGCATGATTCACCCATCGGTTCTCGCATTCAGCATTTTTAAAGCTAAGCTCATCATGTTCTCTCTCAGTCCTGCTTCGACTATTTCTTGGTACCACCATTTATCCAAGGCAGAAGTGTGAGTGTGTGTATGTATGTGTGTATGTGTACATGCACTTGTCTCTTCCTTTTCTCTTCATAGCCAGTCTGTTTCTAGATTCTGTCAGTTTTCTTATTCTGAATCTCTGTTTCTCTCTTTACTCCAATCCCATTTGCCCCCTGAAAGGAAACTGTTGTTTCTTGCTCACAACACTCTGACGCCAAACGTGTGGGGATAGTTCCACACCAAACAGTTCTCCAGCACTCCAGACTCTAACTGAGTATCTTACAGTTCAGTTTTAACACTGACTACCTGGAACCAGCACAGACCCTGCAGGTTGAGGGCTCTGTCCCACAAGGCTGCCCCCATTTCATACATCAGCTGCAAGTTCCAGGTTGTCACCTGTATTTCTCACCAACCAGCTATAAGGCAGGGTTCCCACAACCTCCTCCTCAGGCTTGATAATTTGCTATAATGGCTCACAGAACTCAAGGAAACACTTACGTTAATTGGTTTATTATAAAGAATACAATAAAGATACAAGTATACAGCCAGATAAAGAGGTACATAAGCCAAGATCTGGAAGAGTCCCAAGTGCAGGAGCTTCTGTCCTGTGGAGTTGGGATGTACCACCCTCCAGCATATGGATGTGTTGACCAATCCAGAAGCTCTCCAAACCCTGTAGTTTAGGGATTTTTTTTTTTCCTTAGAGGTTTCATCATATAGGCATGACTAATTCTTGAGTCAGTCTTCAGGCCCTCCCCTCTTCCTGGAAAATGGGGGAGTGGAGCTTAGTCTTTCTGGTGACCAGTCCCCATCCTGAAGCCATCCAGGAGCCCACCAAAGTAGCCTTATTAGAAGTGAAACACTCCTGATATCCATGAAATGCCAGAGAATTTAGGAATCTTGTGTAAGACACTTCTATCTCCCCCATCACACAGGAAATTAAGAGTTTTAAGAGCCCTGTGTTGGGAACCAGGGACAGAGACCAAATATATGTTCCTTATTATTCCCCCCACCAGTCTAGTGTGGGCTCCCATCGACTCTTGCCTTATCACTGGAGCAGTCCGCACCCCTCAAATCCTTCTTGCTGGAGTCGTAAATATCTTTCTAGAACGTGTTAGATCATACCGCTCCCCAGCACTTAGCACAGTGTCTTAGGTGCTCAGTCAATATTTGTGTACTAAAGGGATGAATGCATGAATAGGATTGTTTTTCTTTTTCTTTTTTCTTGTCTTTTATAGGCCTTAGAAAAGAATCACAGATTTTAAAGTGAAAACTTACTGTAAATTGATCTGCATAGTTCTTTTATGAATTTGTCTTTATAACAGTGTGGGGCTTTGAGTAATACTTTAGTATTAGATCACTGTCTGCCTTTTATTGTTTAAAGGTAGGACTTTATTTTAAAAGCAGGGACTTGTTAGAAATTCATGATTTAGCAGAGCATGGGCTTTGAGTCTGGATTGGATTTGGCTCTAAGCTCAGCCAGTTCAATGCACTTTTTAAACCTCCAGTTACTCCATTTTGAGTTTTATCATCTGGAAAGTCGATACAATATCTACCATGTGGCATTGTTGGGGATTGAAATGGTGTATGGAAGTGCTTGGCATAGAATAGGAATTCGATAAATCTGAAAATTACAATATAGTGCTATAATATCAACTGCATTAACTTAACAATTTTTGTCTTACAGATAGTGTGTGTACCATATCCGTGGCGTGTAACTATGCTCATCATTGTTCTTGTCAATGCCTTTGTAGCGATCGTGGTAGAGGTAAGCACATCACATAGTCAGATGGCTCCCTTGCTGCTTTGAGATTCTTGGTGATTTAATGGTAATGGGGGAAGAGGATAGATAACATTATGGAAGCCCACAAAGAGTTTCAGTTTCTTGGTAGTTAAATTCATTTAGCCTCCTCTTCTGATCTTTTCCATGAACTGATAATAGCCGTATTAAGAGATACGACTTAGCTGCGCTCATAGAGATGGGAGAAAATATGCAGTTAGAAATCAAAAGTTAGTAATTGATAGAAAGGAGAGAAGATTGGTGTTCAGGTGGCCCATAAACTGGAAAACCAGTGGCCATGAAATCAGAGTACCACCTGAGTCTCCCATTTGAAGGAGGAAAGGGAGGGGGCTGTCTCCATGAAGTATAGCAAATGGGAATAGTAAGAACGTTTATGTCAGTGTAAAATAGTGGCCATTCTGAATTTACCCAGTCTCACCACTGATTGCATTGATTGCTGGAACTGCCTCCTTGGTGTTTACTTTTAAGCTTCCCCTGGGGAAAGAGGCCTTAAGTGCTCTTTGATCCATTGTATACTGTATAGTTATTTTCCTATTCAGATCGCCTTTAGGTCAGCTTCTCTGAAAGGAGATAGTAAGTTCTCACTTGCTGCTTATTAATAAAATTTAGTCTCTTCTCAGAGCTACTATTATAATTCACTCCTATGGTGGCAATATAGCAAATGAAGAAGGAGACACAGTTGTGATTTTTAAGTTAAGGGTTTCATAGAGTAGGCTTTTGAATTTAGGTAATTTATGGGACATATGTGTACTTTAGAGAGAATAGTTCTAGACTTGGAAATTACATGTAATTTGTTAGCTTTCTAAAAGATGACTTGGTATTTAAATTGGGGCCACAGTCGGCAGCATGATTATTGTGGTACTGATCTCTTCAAGTTGTCCAATTTAAAGTATTTTTGCTATTTTATGGACACTAGAAAGCACATCCAAGGTATTATATTTTAAAAGCTTTCCTTTTTCTATAGTTTAAGTTCACCTTTTCATTCAAGTGTTATTTCAGATAAAATCTTTTTAAAAAACAGTTTTTAGGTACTCTTTTCTTAATTCCTCTTAATTTATTCTTGCTCACTATCAAAAGAATTGTTTTGGACTTTGATGAAATCATACTCTTTTAGATACAAATAACTCATTGTTAAGAGAAGGGCTTGAGGTTGTAAGTATTATTTTAACATGGGGAAGACCCGAGGATTCAGATAAAAGCCATATTTTGTAGAAAATTTAGAGGCCCCATTTTATCAAGAATTTTTATGATGATTTCTATTTGTTGCTAAAGTCCTGTCGTTATTTATCCTTCCGCAGTAGTAACTGAAATTCTCTGTGTGAAAACCAAATCATGTTTTTTACTAATGTTCAGCATTGTGTGAGCCTTTGTAAATGTATGCATTAATAAGGAATGACATGGTCATTTTTAATTCTTCACTCACTGGAATATCTCTCAGAACTTCTTCCTTGACATGGTCCTTTGGAAAGTTGTGTTCAATCGAGACAAACAAGGAGAATATCGCTTCACCACCACACAGCCTCCGCAGGTTGGAAATCAGCCCTTTTTCACGTATATCTAGGCTCTGTCAGTTGTGTGCTCTGCATTGTGTAGGGTGAGATTCTGTTGTGTGTTGTTCAACCTTTTCTTCTGTGCCTGGCATTTCATTTTTTCTGTAAGGAGTCCTAGAAAACTCATGGTGAACATTTGTTACAGGCTTCTTAGGACTTCAGAAGTTTCATAAGTCTCTTCTCCATTCCAATCCTTACTTTCTGTTTTTGTGAAGGTCTTGTGCTGTTAAGAGTTAATTTTCCATTTTTGTCTGTCTTAAATTTTAAGTTCTAGTTTTGATGAGTCCCATTAGAAGCTAAATGAGATTCATATAAATAAAGTTATGAAATGGGAATCTTTCTTCACGAGTCAGAGTTGAAAGGTCAGAATTCTGAAGAATTATTTCTGATTTCTTGTCAGTTACTGTGCCTCAGTTTTGAGTGGCTCTTTTGGTTTTCCCCAGCATGTCTCTCATTCAGAAAAATTTTCAGACCATGCTTTTTTTTTTTCCATACAAACCATGCTTTAGGACTTTTGACTTTTTTTGAGGTAAAATAAAAGAGAAACAGATGAATAAAACCTATTTTTTGGTGTTAGGCTGACATTCTTCATGGAAAATATGAGTTAGTCTAATTTTTTTAAACCAGTACTGTTGAATCACAGCTCTGAGCCAGCTTTTTGAGTATAGAGAACTTGACGATATAAAGTCTCACACCCTTATTATTTTGCCCGTTGCAGTTTGTAGCTGGGTGATATGCTTTACACACATGAGTTTAAACCGTTCACTCATCCTGGGCCACAAGGAAGCTTGTGGAATCCAAGAGGATTCCCTGGCATGGGTCACTCACTCATTTTAGCCTTCTTTTACCTGAGTAGCCACGTCCTGAGCTTCACTTCGGTAGTTCATTAGGCTTGATGCCTGGCGTGGCATCACGGGATCGGCTAGAGGTCCCGGAGAGCACCATTTCGTTTTCTAAAGCTTGATAATGAGTAGGAATAGTTTTGTAATGATGTGATGAGTCCGGCATCCACTTTAGTTTCTTTTTCTCAAGGCAGTGTAATGCCCACTGGTGCCTAGAAGTATGACCAGAGCTGTATTAGAAGCTCGAGTCCTTGAGCTAAATCTCCTCTGTGTCTTTTTTTTTTTTTTAGCTCTTGGTGCCTCATTCTGTTACTTCAAAGGGTTAACTTTGGCTCAAATTATCAGTCCTCATATAAAAAAATGTTTGTATTGGCAAGGCCTAGGCCAAGGAAAACATATACATTGAATTTTTAGCTTTTCCAAAGAGGTCTCCAACTATTGATCTAAACAGGGAATGTGGGTTCTGAAGAGTTAGATCCTAATTTAGTCAAAAGTGGGTATCATAAAGCTCCTTTAAAACATCTAAATTGGAAAACCCTTCTCACTTTTTATCCAGAATTAAGTGGCAGAAAATTCTATCACTGGCTACGTCTGTTTTCTAAAAATTTATGAATAAGTATGTGTCCTTATTTTTAAAAGGCTGTGTTTTTAATGTGAAGTTGTACCTCTGAAAGTGTCCTGCGGAGAGAGTGGTCTAGAGCAGGGAGGCTCCAGCAGCTCCCAATCTTTACTGGTTCTGAGCATCATTGCGTAGACAAGAATTTCAGCCTTCAGTTTCTGTGCTCACGATTAAAGAAGCATTTTTAAAATAATTAGCTTTAGAAAAGAGAGTTTGTATAACCTCTTTGCATGTGAGGCGCACTGGCTGTTCACATTCATGACCCTTCAAGAGCTGAGCAGTTGGTAACGTTACTGGAAGGCTGAGGTTCTCAGTCAGGGGTAATCTGCCCCCACCCCACCGCCAACCCTTCCCGGGGACATTTAGCAGTGCCTGGACACATTTTTGGTTGTCACAGTTGAGGGGGTGGTGCTGCCGCTGGCATGTGGTGGGTGGAGCCCGGGGCTGCTGCTAAGTAAACATCTGACAGCAGCACACAGGCCAGAGATCCCTGCCGTAAGCTGAGAAAGAAAGTAAAGGCGAGAGTGACTTCCATGGCTGCCACAGCGCCCCCTCACCACAAACCCCCATTTCACACCCGCCCGTTCTGTGCTCTTTTCTACCAAGAATCTCATGAGGTCTTCCCAGACTGCAGCTCCCAACCTTCTCTGTTACTTTTGGGGGAGCACAGCCGTGTTTCTCCTTTTCCTTCCTTCCCATATAGACCCGGAGACCAGATTTGGAAGTTTCAAAGCTAGAGACCCTGGACTAGGCTGCAGGTCTCACACATTTGAGTTGGGAAGCTAGGAACCTCACCTGGAAGTCCCTAGTAACCATATCCCAAAATAACCTGGTGATCGACAAGGCAAGCTATACTATGCCTCCAGGATCCTTCCTATCGTAAGGTGTTTCCAGCTTCGTTTTATACATAAAGAAACAGCATTCTGTCGACATGCTCTGCTCACGCAGCTCATGAATGGCAGAGCTGGGAGTGGAAGCCAGGGTTTCTGATTTCAGGACTGTTTTTCCCACTATGCCACACTGCCTTATGTTGTGGGGCCGTAGAGATGCAAACTAATGCAACAATCAGGTGACAAAATGGAGACAAACAGTAGCCACTGTTTTCAATACCCACCTTCTATGGTGGACGCTGCGAGGCATTTTGTATAAATTCCCTCAATTGTTACAACCGCAGGAGATCAGGATAGAGAGACTAAAGATACCCCTTTCTTTACAGATGAGGAAACAGTGTTAGAACTGGAGTTCAAATTCAGTTTTATCTGGACCCAGGACCATAATATTCCTAGAACAGAAAACCTCCATATTCTTTAAAGAACTTTTAAATGAACTTCAAATGAACTTTTAGGCATCATTTTTATTTAATAGTAGACATTTTAGCTGTTATGTTTATTTGGCCCATTGAACATTCATGCAGCTAACCTAATACAGGAAAGATGTTCACGTAGTAGTAATTTATTTCCCGTAGTGATTCTTTTTCTTTCTCATTTGGCCTCAATAAGTGTCCATTGAATCAAATTGAAAATAGGTTAAATAAACCGTTTGTAAATAATCAAAGTTAAAACTTTCACTTAGCTAAGTTTTTTTTTCCTGTAATGATCTTTAGCAGCCCAGATGCTAATACTTATTCTCTGACTGAAAAAAAAAAAGATTCTTAAGATAGTAATTTTCAGAAATGCCTTAAACTCCGCTCTGGATCTGCTGAATGAGAAATCCTCAGTGCAGGCGCCATCATCTGTGGTTTTCTGTAAAGCTTTACCCGGGGTGGAGAAGATCAGTGCTGCATATTCCCTTACGAAGACGCATTCCTGCCTAGTCTGCACCCACTAAACCCAGGCCGCTTAGTGGTAGATGTGGAGCTGGAGTCATGAACCATCATGTGTTTTCATAACACCTGCGAATTTGCCCTGATTAAGTTTTCCTTTTTGGGGAAAAATCCAGATGTTAACTATAGTCTTTATGCTACTTAGGATATTATTTCAGCTTATTTAGACAGAATGCTGATTCTGATTGTCTTTGTTTTATATTCAGGATTGGTATGGAGGAAGACTTTTATGAAAAACTATAGTACCATTATAATACACCACACGCATGGCTATATGTCTTACATATTACCCATGAAAACCTTTCCTAAAAGACACTGCTACTCCAGGAGTGAGCTGGCATTGGAGTTCTAGAATGAACAGCTTGGACTGGTCTAAGAAGCAGGAGAATTTTAGCTGTAGATCTTTTAGAAAGTTCTTTGTGGTTTTTCTGCTGGACTGTGATAGCCTCTTTCCCTTCTTTAAGGGATATGCTTGATTATTTAACCATTCTTTCCAGGAGCGAGTCACAAGATCCAGTTGTTGGGGCTCCTGTGATCTCCTGCTTCAGGGACGTAGCCCAGACTGGGGAGACCTGGCTGCTCATTCTAAGCCCCGCGATGCTCCAGCTTTTCCCTCTCCTTGCACATGCTTGCCTCTCCCCTCTTGCCATCGTCTGCTCTCCCTTGATTTCGTTGTCATTCTAGCATGCCGGCAGCTCCTTTTATTTCTGCTCGTGAATTATATTGTGGTTGAGGATGTGTGTGGTATGCTTGTGTTTGTAAACTAACTTAACGCTTGCTTACAGTGTATTTTTTGTGTATGATATTTGGGGAGGTGTGGTTACAAGGACAAAATATGAGTCTAATTACAGTGGAGGGGGGATCCCTAGTGTTCCTTGTGACTTAGTTTATTTTTAAAATTATAACAAGTGTTCGTTGCTTTTAATAGGGACATGAGGATTTTTTAAAAATGCACATTAATATAAAAAAAATACTATTCAGTCGTGATTCTGTTCACAGTGGAATTAGTTTTAATTTTATTGCTTGCCTCACTTTCCACAGTTGGGGAATGATGGATTTAATTATGTATGTGTGTCTTCTATTTAAATATCCTTGGCTTAACTCAGCCTGTTACACGTTGCCTTCAGCCCAACTGGCTCGTCTGGACATGCAGACAAGGCCTATGGGTTTCTGCCCTCTTTTTTAAGTCAGCATTTCTGTTACCATTTTTTGTGATCCTTTAACAGTACTACTTGCTATAAAACAAAAAGTGACAGCTTTCACATTGATTTAGGAACAGTGATTTTTTTTTCCCTGCAATTAGATTGAAGAGTTTTAACACCTTAGGGAGAAAGATAGATCCAAGTAATGAACTATCGCCTCAGATTAAATACTAAAGTTTGTCATGTGTGTGCTTGTACTGGAAAGGAATTATTTGTTATTTGGATCACCTGAAGCATCCTATGCCGAGTCTCTTCTGTATCTGTCCTAATGCTAAATATTTTCTTGTGGACTTCGTTTAAGGTGAGGGTAAAGCTCTCTTTTTAGCTATGACAATAAAGAGGCTACCAGATGAATAATCTTCAAATCTGTATCCTCACCTACCCACCCCCCACTCCCAATCTAATGTAGCTTCCTTGTGACAAATCAGTTTTTGCCTTCAAGTTCTTAGTAATGGTGCAGCTTACTGTGTTTTGTTGACAAAGTAAACTAGAAGGCGTTGAAAAGCACATAGTTACTGGGTATCCTGCCCTCGGCACTGCCACACGCCCACTCCAGTTTAGGAGGAGAGAGTAGTGGGTGCCTGGCGGTTGGCTCAGTAAGATGAGACCTACCAAGCCAAAGTGTGAAAACGTTTTAGAGAGTTTTCATTTTTAAGTATGTTTGCTGTTTTCCACTGGCCAATTTAGAAACATGTGTTCAGACTCTGTTATAGCAAATTTGCCTTTCTTGATCATGCAGCTATTTTGAGTGTCGACATTAGAACGCCTGTCCCAGTTACATCTTGCCTGCATTTTGTGAGATTACAGTTGACGCTTGAACAGTGCCAGGGTTCGGGTTGCTGACTCTCCCTGCGGTCAAAAATCCGCTCTAATTTGTATAATTTACGGGCCCTCAATATGGAGTTCCTCCACATTTGTGAATTCAACCAGTTGTGTATCATGTAGTACTGTAGTATTTACTACTTATAAAAAAACAGTCCATGTATAAGTGAACCTGCATGGTTGACCAGTGTTGTTAAAGGGTCAGCTTTACATCCTTGAGATTTGACCTGGTTGCAGCCTGGATTATATGTTGATGGCAAAACAAAATAACCCGGGATTGAAATTTTGCTTTTGAGGAGCAACAGCCAAAATAATTAAAAATTGACTGTTCTTCAGAGGTGAATATAGCTACATGTCTCAGGATAGTCATTTAGTTTTATTTCATTTATTTCCAACTTCAGTTAAGACATATTCTGGAGGCTTATATTGAATTTACATTTTTGTACAATAACCAGGGACTCTGCTTTCTTGTTCTCCAAGAACTGTTTATCTAAGATCACATTCATTAAAAACAGGGTGGATTAGAAGGATTTCCGTGACAGTGGAGCTTTTTACAATAAAATAATACCAAGAAATAGTACTTGCTTTATGCCTTTCTATGTGCCTCTTTCCAGTTGTGGAGCACCAAGGGGAAACCATCATTATGAAATAAAATTGTTGTTTTTTATGTTGAATGTGGTTTTTAAATAAGTAAATGACATTAAGCATGATCTGAGTTCTGATTTTGACCTAACAGTATTTACATAATGCTTTGAAAGGTGATATTAACAATAACAATGGTATTTGTACACCGATCAGGTGCTTAGGTTGCTAGAAGCAATGGAACGAAAAGATAGTTTGGGATAGAATATGAGGGTTTTCATGTTAAATATTAAAAATGCTTTCTCTTTCTGAGTAAAGTTATTCTTAATGCATTAGATGTTTTATGTTATAGAATCACAGACTCCAGATACGCAGGTTATCTTAAGAATGTAGCTGTATACAAGAGGAGACAGGTACATGGAACTAAATAAAATGAAGTAAATTGCATGGATAATTTAAAAATATAATCTTAAAAAAGTGTTCCTAAATAATTGAAAGCTGACTTTTTTTTTAACGTGGACTTTTCTTCATGTGTTTGTTGTGCTCAGCAGTCATTTCCTCTTATTTTTCTGTGCTGATGAACTGTGCTTTAACAAACTAGTTAAAAACAGCAGCTCTTAATCTACCAGGATGTTCTTCTTTTTCCTGATTTTCTTAGGAGTCAGTGGATTGGTGGGGAAGATGCTGTGTGTCCTGGGCCCTAAACTGTAGGAAGAAGATGCCAAAGGCCAAGTACATGTATCTGGCTCAGGAGCTCTTGGTTGACCCAGAATGGCCACCAAAACCTCAAACAACAACAGAAGCTAAAGCTTTAGTGAAGGAGAATGGATCATGTCAGATCATCACCATAACATAGCAGTGCATCCGTCCCAGCGGTCTTCCAGCAGTTTTGAGGAGAATGTAAATGTGGGGCTTTATCTGATTCTACGTGTCAGAGTGGCACTCTTTCAGTTTATGTCCCTTCCAATGCAGTAGCTGATTTGAGAGCTTTTTTTTTTTTAAACGAAACAAAAGGAGGTTCGCCTGTTAGTTAAATTAATAATCAATCTATAAAGTCTTATACCGTCACTCAGTAACTCTAAATATTATACATATTTCCAGAATTTTCTTGATTGTTACCCTCAGTAATAATTATAGGGTACAGAAGAAAGTTGGTATTTGGAAGATTTTTAGACATTAGCTTCTAAGACTGAGTTTATGCCTTTACATTTATTTTCACAGCCCCCTTATTAAAAGAAGTCATCACTTATATACAGGTCCTAAATTTGTGATTGATAAATAAAGTAGGTGTTAATTAGTCTCCACTGAAAAGTGGGTAGAAAGCCTGTTTTCATTGGATTTCAGTATTTCTCTCGAAGAAAACTCGGTGTACATGCGTCATTCCCTAGGCTTAGGGGTGAGTTTTATGGTGTTGCTTATAGAACAACTCAGGTAATTTCCATTTATGAGTTTCTGTTTTCTGTAAAACTGCCTGGGTTTTATTTTTCTAATCAGCAAGGTGCTTCACTGCCTTCTTGAGATGTCCCTCAAAGCTATTAAATGGATCTTGTGCTATGTCTGGTGTCAATAGTGTAATTTGCTTTAGTTAAATATTGTAGAATCTATTCAGTAGGAAAAGGCTGATTTCTATTGGCAGTAGTTATAGATCTATTCTTCTAATATCTTTTCTTATCTGTTCTTTCCCTCTCAGGTTTTATATTATTTTATATGTCTTTTTATTTTCTTCTATGTCTTTAATTACCTAAAGGTAATAGTGAGTTGTTTTGGGGTTTTTTTTTTAGTTTTTTGAGTTAGAATTTTACCTCCCAAATTTGTGAAGGTTTGACGTATGTCTCTTCTATCCATAATGAGGCTTAAAAAATGAGTGATTTTGAATGCTATTTTTGCAAAGCAATATGAACCCGGTGAGTTTGTTTTATGCCATTAGGTGGCGCCAGAGGTCAGAGTCAACCTATTTTGAATTGGATGTTTATGAATGAGCATGTTGGTTGTGGAAATTTCTGGGAGAAAAAGAAATTGAAACAAAGTTAAAAAGTTCATTGAGCCAAAAGAAATGTGGAAAATATTTTTCACGTTTCTTTTTTGCCTGGGAAATGTTTAAATTCTAAACAAAATTAAGATAATTTATAAATACCTTTATAGGTAAGATCTAGCAGTTTGGCAAAGCCCAAAGAAAACTGATATTGCTGTAAAATGGACACTAAACTACTAAGACTGTGTGATCTTATCCTGTGTTCTTTGTTAACCAGTAGCATGCCTGTGCTTTCCACATCCAGCTGATCATTATTTTCTTGATACATATTTACCAATTTGATCAAATGTTATCCAGAACCGTAGAACCAAAGGGTTCTCATTTTTTATGCTGCAGAGACCTGATGATGTTTGGTAACTGTAGAAAAATGTAAGTTACACTCAGGATCACTGTTATTGCTACGGCCACTGCTGATTCTGACAAAAATACAATCGAAGTTTTCCATCAAAAAATATGATACTATATTAATACATATTAGCTGATAAGAACAATTATTCCAGGAATGATTCAATGAAGCTATGCATTTAGACCTCTTGAGCTGTGAATTAGCCCTGTTTTCTATAGTTATTCTCTTGATCATTTTATAATTTCCACATTCATTTCCAGTACATACAAGTGTGAGTCTTCAGTGATCTCCCAGAACTGTAAATTTTTTCTTTTATTTAAATACTGAAGCATATAATTAAAGTAATTGCTAAGTAGCAGTTTAAAAATCAATTATCAGATTGTATTTAACATCTTTAAGAGCATGATCATAAAGAACTATATTTTTGACACCCTCCCCCCTTTTTTAACATTTAGATTTTATAAGGGTTTTATATCACATCTGTCCATATTGTTTTTCAAAGGAATGAGGCTTTTAGATAGGTGGAAAAAGCACTTGTAGAAGCTTAGATTTGAACATAGACAAGGTGGGTTGTTCAGGTTGTAAATGATGGCTTCCTGAATGTTATTTGAAGAATGTCTGTGAATCCAGATGTGTGTCCTACTCAGTGCCATAGGTAGATGAGTCTTCTCTCAGTAGGTCACCATTACATAGTAATTTTGATTCTGAATTTCACAGTAAATTATTTGAGTGTATACAGACCTAAATTTAAAAATCTGTACATATATTATTTTGATGTATTAAGAGTAATAAATATTGCTGATTTAAATTTTATTTATGCACATACTTAAAGGACAAAAATGTCCAGGAAAGTAATTGTTAAATAATATGTAACTTTTTAACTTTTTAAATAAATAACAAGATTTTTAATGTGTGTCTCCCTCAGGGTTGTTTAAAGTTTTTTTTCCTCCCTCAAATATAAATAGTGGTAACTATATGTTTTATATCTTCTAGCACCAACTGCTGTAAAGCAATGCTGCAAATAATGCTTGAATAAAAGTGGCTAAGCCAACAACAAAATAAATACTTTTTATATTAGTTTTATAATCCTTACATTCGAAAGCTTTCCAAATCGTACTTGTGTTTAAACCAAACTCTTGCGATTTTTACTGTTTGTTTTGTTTCCCATGTTTATGAAAATACTGCACAGTTTCAAAGGCATGGTGAATTATATCAGCATTTATGTACTCTGTTCCCCAAAGGCTATGGATCCAATGTCCAGAGAAGAGCAAAATTTAAGCTTCAGAAAACATTCTAAGATTTCATGCATGTACTTTTGACATATCTGAAAGTAGGTTTTTGTATATTTATGGTGGGAGGCGGTTGGGAACTTTTAACAAAATGTTAATTTTTGTACAGTCTGTGAGCATTTACACATATTTTTAATGTATTAAGATTTGGTAATTATGTGCACATTAATAAAATAGTTACTTCCTGTTATGATTTGTGAATTCCCTAAGACTTTGGATTTTTTTTAAGTAACTTTATATCAGAAATGATACTGCATCTTTATATTTTTAAAATTGTATTGCTGCTCAAGAATGGTACCCTGATGTCAAAAAGGCATACATTAAGAAGTATACATTCAGCACTGTAAATAACCTTAAGAAATTTTTTGATTGAAGCTGTTCAAAATAAAGATTTAAGTGAATGATATAACATTTCTTTTTTTTCTGTGTCTTTATCCGTTTGTTTACTTTCTAATTACATGAACATTACCCTCTCTAGACTTAACTTTCCTGCTTAATACTTCTCCCATTTCCTGTTTTTTTTTTTAACTTCAAGTTTTTCACAAAAATAAATACAATTTCTACATATCATCATATCATGTCTGTGACGATCTCATGGAATCCCGTCACTCAAATGTAAGTGTCAGGAGGTCTGAGGGAAATGGTGAAATAGAAGACTAGGACTTACCTATTAACAGTTGGGAAGATCAAACCAAAAGCTAATGCCATGCGAGCCATAGTTAAGTCTGAGGTAAAGTATCCGTGGGTGCAAAAGGCACTCCACAGAGAGAGAAACCGTGGAGCTGACTGCTGGCTGTAGGAACCCCAGAGGGCAGGGTGTGCTGGGCCTCCAGCTTGGGTAGGAAGTGTTTCCTTGTGTCAAGTTCTGCAGGAGGCACGTGTCCTGCTGCGGGCCATGTGGATGGGTTGGGTGGGGTGAACTCTAGTTTGAGCCCAAGTTCTTCCCACTCACCATGGATTGTGTAGCAAATGATTGTGTCCTCACAGCCTGCCAGTGGTGGCACAGTTCTTCAAGCTCTTCCCCTGTGAACTGCCAAGTGCTTTATTCTGGGTATATATTACAAGGAAGGACACGGGGAGTTCTAGGAGTTTGAATGAGACTGTCCCTGTTTGACGGGGTTGTGATTACTCCACAAGTACAGAGGGATTCCCACTGTGCCCTAGCCTCGGTGTCTCCCCTATGGAGGAAGAAAAGCATCTCTCATCTGAGCAGATACCTGCTTCTGTATGGCCAAATCCTGTAGGCCAGTGTTCTATGACTTTGAAACAGAAGATGCCAGTTAGGGCCGTAGATTCCTGACCTGTTTCATGGATCCAGAATCCAAAGGGCTTGAAACACTGGAGCTATCAACTTCATTGCTCAAAGTACTTCTCAATACCTCATCAGTCTGTTCAGTGGATGAATTCCCAGTGTTCCTCCACTGTCTGCAACTTCTGTGCCCGGCTTTCCCTTTTTGGGCCATCGTAATGTCCTCTATTCAAAGAATAAAACTTGGAGATAATTGTCATTGGAGGTCTTCTGGGGAAATAGACTAAAGTTTCACTGGAATTTGACTTGAAGTCTTAACTCTGATGATCCCAGAGTACCTCCTCCCAGTCCTCTGGAGCATTTGAGAATGTTCTTAGCCTTACTATTCCTAAAAGGGGGAGAGGGGACCTAGATTAGAATGGGAGCAATGTGGCATGAAAAGGAAGACTCAAAGGAAGTGTGGCCCAAACAGGGGCATGGCTGCTGCAGTGATCCAGCTGCGTTACTCCTGCAACTTCTGTGTCCAGTTTTCGCTTCTGGGGAGAGTCATACTGTGCAATTTCTCTCCCTCCTACTTTTATCATTCAGCTTTGGCAGTAGGATTCAGGTTAAATATGATCTCTTTTTCAAAGTTGGGAGATGTGTGTCGTTGAAAACCAGAATATGCCCTCTGAGATAGGGTTCTTTCCAAGACTTTTATTCTGGGAAGGTCTTTATCCTCAGGATGCAAGGCTACCTCCCTCTTCCTTTAGAAAGTGCAGAATCACACGCAAAGCTCTAAGCCTTTCAGTTGCTTTGGGTGCAGCACCATTTCAGGTAAGGCTAAATATTTTAAAATTTAATATGGGCAACTGGAGGGCTCAGTTTAGTCTGTGTGTGCATAAGAAATAGAATTTAGTACAAGAAGCAATTAGTGTAAAATTACGTTTAGGAAACATTGTTTTGGCAGATTAGTATTACTGTGTGAAGTTGACAGATAATTCAATGCCATGATTACTAATTTTTAATTAAGCATCTTAGAAATGACAACTCTGCTTATGGCTCAATCAGAAATACTACTCTCAAATTCCAGCTCTGTGACTCTGGTTAAGTTACTTAACCTTTCTGTGCCTTACTCTCATCATCCTTTAATTGGGGATAACATCACCTACCTCATAGGGCTGTTGAAAGGATTAAATGAATTAATTTAAATTAAGTGCTAAGAACAATACGTGGCATTAAGTGACAGGTATTATTACCTACTTTTCTCAGTGTGGCTAACAGGGTGTTCACTGTTTTGGTGTGTCCCTGTCTTACTAAAGTAGGTACTGCAGTTGCAGCATGATTGTGATAAAAGGAATCAGATGGTGGTTGCTGCTGTTTTAACAGACTTGGCTGTTCCCTTCATGACTGTATGTTATAGCCACCTCGGGCTAACTTATAGTCAGAGAAGCAGGGCTCTTTTCACAATGGGCACAGCTCTGTGATGCCTGTGAGCTTGATTGTGGGGAAGATTAGTTGAATTCGTTCTCTTTATGTAAAGGTGTAAGGGTACTGACTTTTGTATAGTTTGAACTGAGAGTGGAAAATCAGTAAAACAAAAGAATGAGACTCCCGTAGTGTAGAATGAACGTCTTTTCACCACCGACGAAAATCAGCACTCGTAAGAGTGTCTGGGTAACATTCAAAGTCAGTGATAATCCTGGCGAAAGGATCATGCCTCTGCAGGGTTACGAGATCGAAATTCGAGCCTTTGCTCTTTTGTGTGTTGCCCACAGATCTGTCACTGTCGCCTTGTTTCAAACATGCTGAGGAGCGCTCTGCTGTGCGCGGCGCTCGGGCTCCTGCGCGTGCAGCCCTTCCCCTGCCCACCCGCCTGCAAGTGTGTCTTCCGCGACGCGGCGCAGTGCTCGCCGGACAGCGTGGAGCGCATCGCCGGGCTCGGCCTGCCCACCAACCTCACGCACATCTTGCTCTTCCAAATGGGCCGCGGCGCCTTGCAGAACGACAGCTTCAGCGGCATGACGGTCCTGCAGCGCCTCATGCTGTCTGACAGCCACGTTTCCGCCTTTGCACCCGGCACTTTCAACGACCTGATAAATCTTAAAACTCTGAGGTTGTCGCGCAACAAGATCCCTCACCTTCCAGGTGCGTTATTGGATAAGCTGGTGCTCCTGGAACAGCTATTTTTGGACGGCAATGAACTCAAGGGCCTTGACCAAAACATGTTTCAGAAACTGGTTAACCTGCAGGAGCTCTTTTTGAACCAAAACCAACTCGCTTTCCTCCCTGCTAGCCTCTTCACACACCTGAGGAACCTGAAATTGTTGGATTTATCGGAAAACAATTTGACCCATCTGCCCAGGGAATTGTTTGGGGCCCAGGTTAAGCTTGAGAAACTTCTGCTCCACTCGAACCATCTCGTCTCTCTGGATTCGGGGCTGATGGACAGCCTGCGCGCCCTGATGGAGCTGCAGCTGGACAGAAATCACATCCGTTTCGTCGCACCCGGCGCCTTCGACCGGCTGCGAAGCCTGAGCTCTTTGACTCTTTCCAGAAACCGTCTCGATTTTCTGCCCTCCGCCCTCTTTCTTCATTTGCACAATTTGACCCTCCTGACTCTGTTCGAGAACCCGCTGAAGGAACTCCCGAAGGTACTCTTCGGGGAGATGGGCGGCCTGAGGGAGCTGTGGCTGAATGGCACCCGGCTGCGCACCCTGCCCAACGCCGCCTTCCGCAACCTGAGCGGCCTAGGGACCCTGGGGGTGACACTGAGCCCGCAGCTGAGCGCGCTTCCGGAGGACGCCTTTCAGGGCCTGGGCGAGCTGCGGGTGCTCGCCCTG